AAACCCCCCCCAAAAAACCTAGGGGCTGGAGAGATAGCTCAGTAGAATAAGTGATTGCTTGGCAAACACAAGGGCCTGAGTTCAATCCCCGTTCAAAAAAAAAAAAAATCAGCCTGAGCTACAGTACTGAGTGCAAGGCCAATAAATTACAAGTGAGATCTTGTCTCAAAAAAACTAATTCCTTGTGTTTTCCTTTTGGGCCACAGCTTGTGCAGCTTGTGTGGTTGCTCAGGTGTCCGCCCCCTGGGCAGGACTCAAGGCTGCAGCCCCAGCACTGCTTTTAGCCAGGGGGGGTGAGCGAAATGACACTGTGGGTTGGTTGCTGGTTCTGCATCACCAGGTCTTGGGGACCGCTGTAAATTCAGGGCCCCGTTGTTCCTCGGCTTTAGAAAGCACACTTGATCCTGGCCCCCTGACCTCTGTGACAAGGACCCAGCTTTGTCTAAACCTCACACACAGGCACCAGCAGGAGCTCCTCGCCCAGGCGCATGGGGCAGGCTGCGGTGTCACTGTCTCAATGCCAGCCCCGGAAAGGGCACTGGGCTATGTTTAGGACCATACAGTGCCCACGAGACCATCCCAGGGCCTTCGCTGCTCCCAGGCTTTGCACCAGACAATCACCCTGGAAGTCATTTGAACCTTGGCCTTTTTCTGTTTAGAAGACAGGGCCATTAACAAATTGTAACTCGATTTTTTTTTTTTTTTTTTTTTTTTTTTTTTTGAGATGGTCTTGCATAGTATAGCCCAGGCTGGCCTCGAACTCATGGTGACTTTCCCGCCTCAGCCTCCTGAGTGCTGAGATCACAGGCGATCATACCTGGCTGTCATTCGGAGCTCTTGTAGCATTTGAATTTGAAGAGCATACCCTCAGCCCCACCATAGAGGCTGCGCTTTAACAAGCTTTCCAGGTACCACACACAAGTTCTCAAAGATCCCTGGACATACAAGACCACTTGTACAGTGACAATAACTCCAGCCACCTCCACTTCCGGAGACAGGGGCTTGTTCTCAGTGACGTACACTGCTCAGGCAAAGCCCACTTCTCATCTGCTGGGGAGAAAAATTCCAAGGGCAAAGAGGTAACAAAGGGCTCCTGTGTCACTTTATTCTTTTCTACTTTATTACTTCAAATTAACAACCACAATAAAGCTCAAAAAAGTCCAATATTTACACAGGAAAAAAGTACAAAATTCCCCCCAAAGTTCTTCAGTATTTTTTTTCAGTTTTTTTAAATTATAAAGTAATAAAAAGCTTTGCTCTTAAAAAAAAAAAAAAAAAAAAGGGGAAACAGAGGCAAATAAATTAGGAAGTACACACATGGAGAAAACAAACAAAAATCAAATCAAATCAAAATAAAAACAGATGTTAACTAAAAGATGGAGAAATCCAACACTTAGCCCTGACCCCAGGCTCCTCCTTAGAAAAGCAGGACCCCAGGAAGGGGGCCTCGGGCGACTGTCGAGACCAGGGAGTGACTGATGACACACGCCTGGCTCAGTGCTGTCTGGGAGCAGCCTCCAAGGATAGACGCTGCCTTGGGCCAGGAGTGGAAGATGGGGCTGCCACTGGCTGGCACTGGGAAGTGGTGGCAGTACCCTCTGTGCCCTGAGGGATATGGAGGACACTGTCCCCTCATCCTTGTTAGGGGAGAAAAACAGAAGTGTGGCCTAGCAGCCTGCTGTTTTGGGGTCACCTCTCCACCCATTTGGCATCTTCATGGAGAGGTGGATGAAGGATTCAAGTGCCCCAGAGGACACTAGGAAAGCCCAACACAGAAAGCTGACCCCCGACATCTCAAGAGGCTGCGGCTGTGTACTTTCTGTCCAGCTGGTTCCAAGGTGCATGGAATCCGCTGGGACCTGCCTTCTGTGGCCACACTGCAGCGACACGTGCTACTTGGGCCATCTCCGATGGCTGCATCTCCAATGCTGAGGGTCCGCTCCTGCAGGTGCTGTGTAGCAGGAATGGGTGGCAGGGGTGGGGCCATGCCATCTGGCTCCTGTGACCTGTATTGTTGGGGAGCAGATGGCAGCCTGAAGGCTGGGGGCAGTGGGCACAGCAAGGAGACCAGAATCCTCTGTGCAAAGGGCATCCCATCTTCTTGCCACTGGCAACATAAATCAAAGAAATAAAATCCATCGTCGGTTTTGTGCTGGGTTTTTTGTTGTTGTTCACTTGAGGTTTTTTTTCATCATTTTTTTTTTTTTTTTTTAAAGAAAATACAGTGAAGACACTAGACAGGGGAAAAAGAAGACAGATCAGGCCTTCGGCTGCCTGTGTCCCCACACTGGCCGTGCCCCCTCCAGCTCCTGCCTTCCTGTCCCTGAAGCTACCATTCTGGGGCCTGTAGCTGGCTGAGGACCCAGGATGTGCTCCACTTCCTTGCAAATTCACCTCTGTTGTGGGAAACAGCCGCCCCAGTCACGCAGCTGCCCAAGACAGTGAAGGCCTGAGGTCTGATGCAGCTAAAGCCCTGCCCTGCAACCTAGCTCCATCTGCAGATGAATTTCTGTAAGGCCAGTCATACTTACAGTGGACTGAGGTGACCCGAGTCCCTTGAAGGGTAAACTACTGCCTGCTGCTACACACATTCTCAGGGAGCTCAGATGCCCCCTCCTAACCACCCAAAGAGCCCCTCCACTCACACTCCCCAAGCCAGGCCCAGATGGAGCTCTTCTTCCTCTAAATCTGTGGCTCCTTCACCAAGGTTCTGTATGAACTAACGTGTTTCGCAGCTCACGGGCTATAGAGGGCTTAAGCCCCTGCTAGGAACTAACTTCCTAGAATATGTTAAGGAAACAGAAATAGGCTGGGCATGGTGGTGCATGCATGTAATTCCAGCACTTGGGAGGCTGAGGCAGGAGGATCACCATGAGTTTGAGGCTAGCCTGGGCTACAAAGTAAGTTCAAGGCCACCCTGAGCTGCATAGTGAAACCATGTCTCAAATAATAAAAGAGAAACAGGGACATGGGACTGGCCCAAGGGAAGGAACAGGGTCTTCCAACCCATGTGGGGCCAGGACATAGAACAGGAAGTCCAGCTACCTACTGGGTGGGCTCTGAGGTTTTATACTTCCAAGCGTTCTTAGTTGGGATCACCTTCCAGCACACAGTGGTCTCCCCTGGGGCCATGGCTGTGTCCATCACTCACCTAAGCAAACACTGGTCCAACGGTGGCTCTCCTCACTTCCCGAGGTGGTCAAATGGCACGCTTGTCTTTGGGGAGAGGTGGAGGGGGACAGTAAGCTTCAAGGCAAGTCCCTACACCACTGGCAACCGAGAACTGGCAGGCCTCTCCCACCCTGCCAAATCCCTCAAAGGTTGGGATCCCAGTAGCCCTACGATGTCCTCGCTCTAGACACAGCATAGCCCAGAGAGGTGACGCATAGCAGTTGCTCCAGGCCACGCCCAAGATGGCACCAAGGGGGGCTCCCTTCAGGGCCTGGTCCTCCAGGAAGAATGGGGCAACCACAGGTCCTCCCGACAATCCCTGAGTCCCAACATGTACTGTAGATAGGGCCGGCACATTGGACCTCAGCTAGCCCTCCAGTTCTGTGCTTAGGACTACTGCAGATTTCCTGGTGATAGGACAGACCCCAGTGCTATGACTCTCGAGGGACAGTTAGAGCGCTAAGCCTCAGCTGCTGGCTGTGCTTGGTGAAATGGGGACAGGAGACCCCCAGGGATTCAATGAGGCTGCGTCTGGTAGCTGGGGGCTCCATGGGTAGTGGCTGCTCACCTGTGAGGCTGAGATTCGAGAGACCTCTTGCCGCCCAGTGAGGTCCGAGGACGAGACGTTGGCGGGAGCGCCCCTGTGCAGCCGCATGCTCACCTTCCTCTCCCGGTCGACCCGAGAGATCGCTCTGGGAGAAGTATTGCCTGGAGGGAGGCCAAGGCAGGAGTACCCTTAGATGGGCATGGAGGCGCCTGACTCCCAGGGACAGCCCAGAGCCCCGGGCTGCTACTGACCAGCTTGCTGGATGCGGGAGGCTGGGGTGGAAGCCACAGGCTCGGCTGCACTGCGGAGCCGGTTGGCAGTGGCCCCCGTGGGGGGACCTGGGGGCAGGGCTCGCGTGGCGGATCCGCGCAGCTGCCCCATCCTCTCCTCGCGCTCGTGCTCCCGCCGCTCCCGGTCCACGTCCTCGGGGTTCCGGGCTGCACCCTGCAGAGACAGGAGGTGACAAAGATCAACTCAGAGGCCACAGTGTGCCGTCCCTTGGTCCCCTGGCAGGTTAGAGTGGGAATCTATGACCCGAGAGGGCCAGGAGTAATGCTTGATCACGCAGAGTGGACAGACGAAACCACGCGACACCCAGAGGGAAAAGGCAAGGTAGGGTCTGAGGAGCACTCCCTGGGCCGCTGCAGTAGGGGCGCTACGGCCCTAAGATGACCAAGGTCAGCCTGGGCCCTCCCGACCTGGCCCGCTATGCGTACCAAGCACCTTCCACCCTGTGAGGCTTCCAAACCAAGCTGGAAAGGCGGTCAGAGGCCCACCTAGCGCACAGGCAGGGGAGGCCCAGAGAGGAAAGGACAGGTCCCGAGTGACAACACTAGGTGAAGGCAGGGCCAGGGCCTGGCCCAGGTCCCCTGGTGTTCAGCCAGGAGCTCTTTTCACCAGTTGGCCATCCATGCCCTGCTCTCAGACCTGGCCACAACTCCTGGCAGGTGCTATGGGGTCGCAGCCAGGAGGCCCAAGGGGCTCACACAGACACCGCCTGTCATGAAACAGTAGCTGGGGGGCCAGGGAAGGAGCTGGTTGGCTGGCCCATGGAGAAAAGAGGCCTAGCACACACAGCTGGAGAAGAGGGTCCCGTACCACAGGCCCTGCCCTCTAGCTGTTGCCACTCCCAGCAGGAGGAAGTGAGAGGCCCGGAGAGGAACAAGGCTGGGAGCAGCACCCATGGTTACCTAGTCGGTCCTGGGGCCGTCCGCAGGGAAGGGCGGGGGGCTGGCATGTGGGGGGCCGCATCTGTGGAGGAGAGAGCTGTGGGCTGAGTAGGGGGCCTGCTTAGGGGCACAGGGTGTGGGTCCCAGGGGCCTGGCTGAGGCCCTGCTGCTTAGGCAAATGGGGTAGGCCTGAACACCTGGGGGAAGAGCCCAGTGCCACGATCCTCGATGCCTCATGAATCAACCCACATTAGTCATAGTCCCCTGGTACCTTGTTGGCCCTGCTAGGACTCTGACCCCTTTCCTGGGGACACCTCTAAGGCAGCCTTGGAGTCCATAGCTGGTCAGAGGTACCCACAGGTCACAACAGCTGCCGCAGAGCTGGGGGCTGAACGCCATTCTCTGCCATTTGGTTACACTGCACATCCTAAAGTTACGGTTCAGAGGCCTACCTTGGGGAAACTCCCTGTTCCTCCCACCCTGTAGCCCACTGGGCTGGCACGGGAGCACCAGGACGCCATCTCCTGACCTCTGGCCTTCACCCTGGGCTCTACTACTCAGCTACACAGGCGCAGCCAGTACCACAGTCCACCTGGGGAGACAGAGCGACAACACCCACCCTCCAGCACAAGACCAAGGCCACCTCCTAGTTGAAAAAACAGAGATGTGATGAGGCTACATGATTTCTTCAGACATGCAGACTGGTCTTCCGGCTACCCCAGCAGGCTCCGGCCAATGCCAGCCCCCCAGGCAAGAGGAACAGTGCGATCCTCTGCGTTTCCACCCACCCAAGCAAAGGCGAATCAGGGAGCGTTTTTCTAGTCTTTATTTGCCCACAAGAAAATACAGATCAACATCAAGGCACCCGAGCATCCATCCTGTTGTGTATGCTCCGTCCTTGGCTGTGTGCAATCTCCTCTTGGCCAGCTGGTTGGACTCACAGGGCACTGTGCACCCACAGAGTGTCCAGAGACCCAGCACCTTGTTGATGCTCAACGTAGGAGGGCACTTCAAGGTCACAGGTGAGATCCTTCTCATTGGGGAGTCCAAGCCCATGGTGCCTGGATTCTCGCTTGCAGGCGAAGATTCCTGCAGAATGGTGGGGGCCAGGCTTCGGTCTCCGTGGTGCGTTTGGTACTTGCTCCCAGCAGGGGATCGGTGGGCATGGTCTGGCTCACCCTGGTGGTAACAGGGCCAGGTACTGGTTGAGGACCTCTGCGCAGATCCATACTCCAGAACTTGCTCCAAGAGGACCCCAGGAAGCGGGTCAGAGCCTCGGCGATAGTGGGGAAGGTGTGCCTGGCCTGGCTTGAGAGATCTTGTTGGCAGGACAGTCATGTGAAAGACGCTGGGAGGGGGACTTCTGGAGCAACACTGTCCATGGAACTTTCCAGATGATCAAAACACACCCATCTACTTGCTTAGCCACTCTGGCTCCTCAGCATTCAAGAATGAGGTGACGGTGACTAAGAAATTACATTTTCTATTTTGTTTATTTTTGTTTGTTTAAACTTTATTAATTAATGTTAGCACCACGTGAGTAGTGAGTAGATGGCACAGGTCTAAGAGAACACAGGCTCACTCTGGCGCCCTGATGGGGTGAAGGGCAAAATCCTTCCCAGAAGCAGATTTGGGACTCCTAGGCCAGCCCTTGACCATACTCCAAGTTGGGAGATGCCCCACTGCTCACCTCCCACCCCAACCCTGGAGAGAAAGGTAAGAGACCTCTCCCCAAAGTCCCTGCCCTGTGATACCCCAATCTCTGCCAGACCTCCATCTGCTACCTTGGAAAATGGGACCAGGCCACTGTCCAGGGCCCAGAGAGAAAAGGAGCTTAAGAGCAGTATGGCTGGCACCCAGGAGGACAAGGCCTCAGTCCTCAGTGCCTGACAGGGCAGGCGAGGGCCATGCTATGAAAAGAGGCATAGCAGGAGGGGACACGGGAATGTTTAATAAGGTTCAAAGCAGAAGGTGTGACGGTCCTGCCATCCGCGCTCACCAGGCCTTTCCTGGCAAAGGCCATTATCCCTTCTTCACACTTGTCCTGGCCTGTGGGCAGCTGGTTCATTCCTAAGAATCCCACGCAGGGCCTCTTCTGTCATATCTTGGGAACAGCTTGCCATTCCCACCGTCCCAAACAAATGAAACCCCATCAGGCCCGGCCTTGATGGGCTCAGGCACACTAGGCGATGTCAGAACTGGGGCCCTGGAGTCCAGACCACAGGCCAGTAGCTTTGTGGTGGCAGCTCCTCCACCTCCTCCACCTCCTCCACCGGCCTATCTGGGGGGCCTTGGGTGCCCAGGGGCGCCGGGCACCTGGAAGCAACAGAGAGAGCACAGCTGAGGTTCAGCCTTTGCACTCACTGGCTGAGTCATGAATCTTGGAAAGGCCAGGTCTTGGAGGGTCCTTACCAGTATGTGGGTGAGCACGAGGGCCCGGCACAGGGCCAGGGACGGGGACAGGGCGGTGCAATAGCTTCACTGTTGCGGGGCTGAGCCTGGCTCGTGGAAGCCCCCTTTTCCAGAAGAGATGTGAAAGAAGACATAGGGTTTCACAGACTCCAGAGCTCCGGGCATGGCTGGCGAATGCTTCTCCCCACCCCACCCCCGGGATCCTTAAAAGAGGGAGACAGAACGACCGCCTAGCAAGACCCAGGGACCCAGGACCAGGAGGAAAGCAACCACTCTGCATGGGTCCAGGCTGGCCATGGGGGACTTGGAGGAGAAGGCGGCCACCTGGGATGCAAAGCACAAGAGCAGCAGGAGGATGGTGCAGGCGGCCAGCAGGGCAGCCTCGCCGGCCACCCTGATGCAGCCAGAGATGGGGCGCTCAGGGACCCCAGTAAAGTCGCTTGCACTGTCCAGCTCATACTGCCCACCGGCTGGGAGTCCCACCCGCCACTGGGTCACTTGGGCCCCATGAGTGAGCGGCTGTCCCATCCAGTCCCCCAAGCCTGCCTCGGCCTTCAGGTGACTCACGAATTTCAGCATGTTCCAGTCGAAGACGTAGTCATATGAGAAGCCCTGCCGGTGGAAGAGGTTTCGGAAGAGCTGGCGCAGGTAGGAATAGTCAGGTTTATCGTCGAACCGCAGGGAGCGGCAGAAGTTGAGGTATGTTGAGAACTCAGCTGGTTGGGGCACACAGGACAGAGAAGCCACAGTGAGGTCCACACCCTGAGGGCCCCCAGCAGCTACCACCATCCCCAGATACTTTCTTTCTTTTCTTTGTGGTACCGGGGATTAAACTCAGGGCAAGTGCTTATTCTACCGAGCTATCTCCCCAGCCCCCCACAGACACTTTCAACCAGAGAGAAGCAAGATAAAAGGAGAACCAGCCTGCCAAACAGCAGGCCACTTCCCATAACAGCCCTACGGACCCAAGGTCACAGCCCCTTGCCTCCCCTACCCATCACTCTGGGGTCATGGAGACTGGAGCTACGGGTGTTCAAGAGTCCAGCAGTGAATCTGACCCCTGTATGACCCGGGCTACAGGCAGTGAACTTCCCTTCCCCCCTCCACCCACTCAGGCTGGGAGAGGGCCCTTGGGAACTGAGCGTGGGCTGGGGACACGGTGCGTACAGCCAGGCCCAGGCTGTGCAGCAGCAGAGCACCCGTGACTCATGTTCTCTGGGCCAGGGGTGGCCCTAGCTTGGCCTCAGACAGAGGAACTGCGCCCGCAGGTGGCCACTCACAGGGGTAGCCCTTGCAGAGGACCTCGATGGGTGTGGACATCTTCTTCTCACTGATCCTCTCATACTTCTGGCGCTTGGTGGCCGCCTTGAGGCCCTGCCAGGGCAGGGAGCCCAGGTTGAAGTACATGAGCACATAACCCAGGCTCTCCAGGTCGTCGCGGCGGCTTTGCTCTGTGGGGGCACAGGGGAGATCAACGGCAGGGTCCCAGAGCAGCCCTGGTCTAGCCCTCTCTCCTCCTCCCCCAGAGGAGAAGGGCCCGAGGCAGAGCTTTCTCAGCTCCGCCTGGACCCAGTTCTTCCAGCTCAGCCACTATGTCATTCAACAACTACCAGTAGGCACCCCCTCGCCTGGCCCACTGCGCAGAAGGGCACAAGCTGCGGCATGAGACGGGCCCAGGAAAGTCTGGCTCCTGCACTAACTAAAGTTCATGTTCTTAAGCTGTCTGGGTTAAACCTTTGTGCCTGCATTTCCTGGTGGTATGAAAGGGAACTCAACAGAGCCCATGAAGGGGCCATATCCATACCTCTATGAAGGGAACAATGGGAACTGTCTCAGGGAGCCTCCAACAAAGTCCCCAGGAGCCCGGCATGGTGGCACATGCCTGAAATCCCACCACTTGGGAGGCTGAAGCAAGAGGATCACTCTGAGGTTGAAGCCAGCTTGGGCTACAGAGTGAGTTTGAGGCTAGCCTGAACCCTGAACTATATAGTAAGACCGTCTCAACCCTAAAACAAAACCAAAAACCAAATGCCCAGGAGCCTCCAGCCAAGCACACACTCACCAATGCCCAGGTGGGTATTGATGGAGGCATAGCGGGCAGTGCCAGTCAGGTTCTTGTTTTCCCGATAGGGGATGTGCTGGTGGGTGCGAGCGTCCCGGTACTTCTTGGCCAGGCCAAAGTCGATGATGTATACCAGGTTGCCTTTCTTTCCTAGGCCCATGAGGAAGTTGTCGGGCTTGACGTCCCGGTGGATAAAGTTCTTGGAGTGGATATACTCTATTCGGCTGATCTGGGGGTAGGAGAACAGCAAGTCATTTAGCAAGGGCTTAACAGAGCTGCCTTCACCATGGTGGGTTAGACCCAGCACTGGGGCTCCAGAGATGGCCAATGACACATGGTCCCTACCCTGGCCAGAGAGAAAGATCTGTCCTCAACTGTGAAGGATGATTTCAAAGGGCAGGTCAGGGAAGGCTTCCTGGAGAAAGTGACATTAGGAGGAGCTTGGAGAGATTTAGAAAACGTGTTGTGAGACAGGCTGAGACGAAGAAAAAAATTAACAGCAGACCCAGAAGGGAGGATACGGCAGGTGAGGCAGCAGGGCCCCTGCACAAAGCAGCAGCGTGGTTCTGCCCCAAAACCAGGGGGCCAGGGGCACGGACTGAGCAGAGTGGGGAGATGGAGGGCAGGAGGCACCAAGCCCAAACCCCGCAGGGACAAGAGGACTCTAAACAAAGAGCTCCTCATCTAGCTCCAAAGGACACCAAAGTCACCCTTTTCTCTCTCTTCCCTTTAAAGGACTTGTTTTGTTTTAAAAACCTTTCTTTTCCCTTTAAGGGAGTTTCTGAAGCTCAAATGTCCTTGCACATGACGTGTCTTCAGGTGGCTCCGGCCAGCTCTGGGCCTCTGGCTGCAGGACACCCAGAACTCTCTGGGAGCTGCTCTAAGTTTCACCACCGGCCTAGGAGGACCCGTCTCCCTGCATGGTGCATGTCTGGCCTAAAACTGTAAGCTGTCTGCAGACTCCGCAGGCCAGCTGCAGACCAGACCACAGCGAGATCGGCACATTCCACATCAGGTTAAAACTATTTTTAAGAGATGACGGGGGGCTGGTGAGATGGCTCAGTGGTCTAAAGCACCTACTTGGAACAAGTTTAGCAAAGCACAGGGACCGCGGTTCGATCCCCCAGCACCACATGCCAGCCAGCCCCGCCCCTGTTGGGCTGACCACACACACACACACACACACACACACACACACACACACACACAAATAAATAAAATTAAAAAAAAAAAAAAGAGAGATGACGGGAATCAGACTGTGGGCCTCATGTATGCTAGGCAAATGCTCCAGGGCTGAGCTATCTCCCCAGCCCTGGTTTGATATTTTTGAAAAAGCTTTCCTTGTTGTCACCCTAACACCTGCTCTGGCCTGGGCACTACTTAGCATCCTCCATAATCCCTACAGCTAGCAAATGGGGCTCACATCAGGTGACTGAGCTTCCGAGAGGCTTGGCAGTTCACCTCTGTTCCCAGGACGGGGCAGGAGCCAGCCCCCAGTCTCCGTGATCACACACTTTAAAATCACAGGACGCGCATGCTGGGCCCCGTCCTCCAAGCCTGGCTTGGTGGCTGGAGTCAGGCCTGGAATCTGTACTATAAACAAACACCCCAAGACTGCTACGTCCTTATCTCTCTGCCTCCTCCTCCAGCAGCACCCCCTCCCCCCAGCAGGATGCGCGGCTGGGATCCTGCGCCCGCCCACCGGCACCTCTCGGAAACAGAAGCCGCGAGGGAAGCGACCTGGCCAGATGGGGAGGTGGGGGACTCACCATCTGGTCGGCCAGGAGCAGCACCGTCTTGAGGCTGAACTTGCGAGAGCAGAAGTTGAAGAGGTCCTCCAGGCTGGGCCCCAGCAGCTCCATGACCATCACGTTGTAGTCGCCCTCGGCCCCGCACCACTTGATGGATGGGATCCCCACTGGGGCCAGGAAAGAGGGTGGTCAGGGTGGTCAGGGCCATCTCCTCCAACCCCGCATCGTCTGCATGGGCATACAGCCCTGTCCCAGAGGTATCCCTCCTGCAGCCCCTCCCCTGCATCATCTGCATACTTGCAGCCCCTTCCTAAATATTTGCATACTCACAGCCCCGGCCAGGCCCCACCTATCTGTCCTCCCCTGAACATCTGCATACTCACACCCCTGCCCCAGCCTCTCCCCCTGCACCATCTGCACACTCAGCACTGCCCAGCCCCTCCTCGCCTCACCTCCTCCCTGCATCATCTTGTAGAACTTGCTCTCAATATGTAGCTGTGGGTGCTTCGTCTTCACACACTCCAGTTTGATGGCCACTTCTTCACCAGAGGCAATGTTGGCACCTACCAGGACAGAGGAAACAAAGCAGCAGTCATCCTGCGGGTTGGGTGGTCCCCAGACTGCTGTGCCCCTGGCCTGGGGCCAACCTGACAGCTGCCCTCCCCAGGTACACAGGTCCTCTAAGGAAGGCTGAAAGGCAGGAGAGGGTGCTACAGGGCACAGAGGGGTGGCAGGGGGAGGTCAGCAAAGGCTTCCAGAGGGGAGGGAACAGTAACAGGTGTCCAGGGAAAGATGGAAGATGGACTGGGTGGGGGCGGGGGGGTGAGACACCAAAGGAGAGCTGGGTGCACTGAGGGTGGGGTCAGGGCACAGAAGGCTCAGAGACCAGCTAAAGGACAGAAGGGAGTCCTGGAGAGAGAAGACGACTAAAGGGCGAGTACAGAAGAAGGGCGGGGAGCCCACCCAGACCAGCCTGAGCCCCAAGAAACTTGGACAGCCCAGGACCAAACCCATGCCCGGGCCAGGTCCACTCACACCTTTAGGAGCCACCCTAGACATCTACCCCAGCATCCTTTTCTCTCACTGAGGCCTCACCCTCTCTGTACAGGCAAGAAAACACACCCAGTTGGGGTCACACAGCCAGTAATGGTCGGCTCCAGAGAGGCTTCTGCGCACCTCTGCACCTCTCCCTACCCCCTTCTGAGCTCTTACTGCAGCCTCTCAAGGGGCTCTAAAGAAAACACCCTCATGCGCCCCAAGGCCCAGCTCAGCCTGGACCCACCACATACTTCAGGAACTCCAAGAACGAGCAACTGCAAATGGCACCGTGCCTCACTTTCCCCAGTTCCAGTGGTGAGCTGAACTGGAGGCCACGGGGCTACTGTCAGGGGCAGGGGTTGCCCTCGAAGCACCCGGGGTGAACAGCGACAGCATCATACAGGCGACCAAACAGAATGGCAGCAGACACAGCACCAGAAAAACCCGGGGAGGGTGAGCTGAGACGGCGGCACCTCCAGTCAAGGGGGAGGCCCACCGGGGTCCTCGGCACATCGGCTCGCACCACAACCAGGGCAAGGCCCAGAGCCTGCGAAGGCCACAAAAAAGAGGCAAAGCACCAGCGGGTAGGCCTCTTTCCAGGGTCTGGTAAAAGTCACAAACCTGTCCCCAAGCAACTCTTGTATACCAGGGGAAAGGACAAGGACACACCCAGGAGCCAATACACCAGAGGCCCAGCAGCAGCAGAGTGGCCAACATGGGACCCAGGGAGACAGTGAAGAGGGGCAAATGACAGCCTCACGCAACGGGGCTACTCCCACCTCTCCAACTCTGGGCAGCAGCCCTCCTTACAAGAGCCCTGCGAAATGGAAGCAACGCAAGCACACACCAGTAGGTGAATGGAGTGACAGAACGTGGCCCACCCACACGGTGGAATATTACTCGGCCATGAAAAGTAAAGAAGCACTGATACATAGCCATCTGGATGACTTTCAGAAATGTTCTGTTCAGTGAGAGAAGCCAGACACAAGAGGCCAGAGAGTATAGGAAATGCCCCGGATAGGAAAATGCTCTAAGTAAGAAGGTACATGAGTGGCTGTCTGGGGCAGGAGGGCAATAAAGTGGAGAGCGGCTGCTTACTGGGCAAGCGTGCAGAAAAATGTTTTGGAAGATGAGGGAGGGCCGCATGACCCTGCAGTGAAAGCCACCAAGCTGCACACTTGGAAGTACTTCATTTGGTCCTGGGAACAACACCTCATGTTTTAATAAGGGAGAGAAAGAAACTGATAGTTTTGACTTGACATCAAAACACACAAAACTAACCACACAGTTCAGGGTTAGTAGAAGCATGACAGAACTTTCAACCAAAGGAAATGACTCTGTGTTGGTGCATGCCTGCAATCCCAGCCCTGCCTGGAGCGGAGGTCGAGGCAGGAAGGCTGCAGAGTTCGTGCCCAGCTTAGCTGTGTAGCCAGAACCCTTCTCCAAAAAAACTAAGACAAAATGGAATAATTTAAAATGTCAACTGGGCCGGACAGGGTGGCACAGACCTGTAACCCCAGTACTTGGGAGGCTGAAGCAGGAGGATCGCTGAGTTCAACACCAACATGGGCTACATGATGAGTTCAATCAAGGCCAGCCAGAGCTACATAGCAAGACCCTGTCTCAGAAAAATAAGCAGTCAGCTGGTAGTTACCTCCATGAAGAGAAGGCAGAGGACAGGACAGGCAAGGCGGACATGCCTTCAAGGTGACAGGCTCATACTCTCAGTTGAGTGGTGCCCAAGGAAGGGTCCCATGCAACCTTAGGGGAAGGCTTTTTTTACCCCTTGATACCCCGAGGCCATTTAAAAACAATGCAGAGGCCCGGCTCCTGCGATGACACACCTGGACCTGCCCTGCCCTCTGTGTGGCACAGCCCCAGGAAGCAGCCATGCTCACAGTTCTGGCGACGGACAAAGAACAAAACAGCTAATGAGCTCCCAAACCAGGAGAAAGACAGCCGCAAGCAAGGCAAAGGGGCCGAACACCACCATCGAGAGACAGAGGAGATGGTTAATAGGAGCGGCTCACCCAGAGGAACCGTTGCGCTACCTCCTCGTGAGAGGAGTGCATATCACAATGTCCCTGAAGACGATTTGTCCGCCAGGACTGCCCAAAGCCCCATGGTGAGACAGCCTGCATCTGTCCGCCTGGGGCAGGCTCAGGGACAGGAGGGTCACTGCCACCACCCAGCTCTGACCAGCAACGCCACAGCTGCAGCTTTTGCCGCCGTCCTTGCACAGTGCAAAGTGAGGCCCAGACAAGGCCGTGCACTGTCTGCTGTTTACAGAAGTCGCAACCTGGAAGGGACCCAAGTGCCCATCATCCGGGGTCTGGTTAAAGGAAGAACAGCCCATCCAAGAAACAGAACACAATGGGGGGGGGGGGAGAACAAAGACGCGCCCTCTGGGCAGAAGTGGAAGATCTCCAGAGCCAGGAAGTGAAAAAGCAAAGCACAGAACATGAATTCTGGGCTCTCCTTAGTTTCAAAACAAGGTGGGGAAGTAAGGAGCTGCGTCCACATAAAGAACGTGAGGGACCTGTGCCAGGGCTGGGGACTCCTCGGACACCTTGCCCTGTGTCTCCACTTATTACGCTCTTTACCAAGATAAAGTTTATGTGCTCCGCCATTCACCCCCTTGCAGAGTACAACTAGCTCAATAACCCTCAGCGCATTCACACATCTGGGTGACTGTCACACAACTGATACCTGAATGCCTCCATCCCCTCCCAGCACCCACACCATGGCAACCACCACTGTACTCTCCAGCCTCAGCTCTACCAATTTTGGACATTTTACAAAAATAGAACGACACAGTATGTGATCTTTTGTGGCCTGCTTCTTTTACAGATTTCTGTGGTTTCATTTTTGGTATTGTCTACGTATTTTCATGTTTGGGCCAAAGTAAAGACAACTAGAAGGCTAAATCCAGTGAGCAATTACGTAGTGCAAACACGTGCTAATAAACATTTAGAGATACAGTGCAGGTGGCCTTGCAGAGTGCTTGGCACATGGTTCCTGCTCCACCATGGGGACGGGGCTAGTGAGGAAGGGCCAACTGGCCCAGGCTGTGACAAGCGGGTGGGAGGGGGCATCGGCGGCCGCACAGGAACAAATGAAGCAGGAATAAGCCATCCTCTGGGGAAAGGAGCCTCTCCCTGGGCTCCTGGCACAGAAGCAGGTCCATGCAAGCTTAACCCTAACCCTAACCTGCAAAGGCCTGGTGGGGGATGCTGCCAACTCTGAGGGGTTTGATGCAGCTGAAGACGGTGGAAGCCCTGTGGGAGGGCAAGGTTGGAAGGGTCTTTAGGGGCTGCCAAGACACTTCAGCTTTCAGGCTGGGTGGCAAGGACAGGGACAGGGGTGCAATCACGGAGGGGCCAAACTCAGCAGCACTGACATTCAGGGCCACAAAGTTTGTTTTGTGGGTCTGTCCTGGGCATTGTGGGGAACACAAGCAGTCCTCACATCTACCTCCTATGTACCAGTAGCTACCGCTTCCCCACCACCTTCCGTGAGTGTAATAACCAAAACCATCTCCTAACTGTGACAAAGCCCCTGGGGGGACTACATCCGCCTCCTTACACATACACACTGCGATTCACTGGTGTATGAGAAACGATCCAAGGGGCTTGAAGGGACAGGGAGCAGCGGTCAAGGATGCCGGTGACTCGGCAAGGAGGCAGGAGATGGAGTCCCCTCGGCCTGGGAGCCCACCTGCAAGAACTACTCTGCATCAATCTTTGACACACAGAGAAACTGAGTCACCAAGGACCAAATGCCCATTCGCCACACAACTTCCCACTGACAGGAACCCAAACTGCTGGGCAAAGTCTTCTGACCTCAGAGTGCCGGGAACCTTCTGCCTCAGCTGCCTCCCCGACGGCCTGGACCCCGCGTTTTGCATTCCTATCCGGAAGCTGCCTGGCTCTTTTCTGACTCCCCGAATTCTCTCAACCACCAAAAGGAGGTGCAGAGGGGTTTGGCAGCTGGCCAGGTTTGGAAATGTGGCTCCAGAGCCCTTGTGCTTTTCTCCATTCCAATTCCCTAGCATGGCACTTGTGCACTTGGCAGGCAGCAGGGCTGGACCAGCTGGGGCAGGCCTGCCCTGGAGGAGCACAGCACGCCTGCTGGGGGAGCAACAAAGGCCACTGGCCACGTGGAGGGAGCGAGGGAAAGAGGTAGAGGAGCCTTGGAGGGGGCAGCCACCTCGGCTTCCTTCCTGGCGGCTGTGTTGGGAGATGAGTGGGCTGGGCCTGCCTAAGAATGGCCAAAATGGCCTCATTTCAGGCATAGGATGCCAGTCTGGTCAGACCCCTAAACCAAAACCTGGACAAACAAGAGCCTGGGTCTGGCCCACCCAGCAGGGTTGAAACCTTGGGAAGCTGTAGGTGGGAAAGGGGGTGACGGCCCTCACACAGAAGCATTCTACAGATACACAGCTGGGGACTTGGAGACTTTGGGGTGATAGGGACACTCCCTACCCCAGCAGCAACTCTGCCACTCACCTATCAGAAGCCCAAGAGTATGCCCTGGAGCCGGCAAGAGGGTGCAGGCCCAGGCACCTCTGGACCCCAAGAAACCACCTCAAGGCTGTCTGTACACAATGCCCCATTCTCCCAACTGTTCCCTTATGATGCGGGCTGGGGGCCCGGAGAAGAGCTGGGGCCTGGCAGCCGCACGTGCGCCCATGGCTGATCCTGGAAAGCAGCGCTTGGACACTGTGCTGAGTCCCACCTGCAGAGGCCATCTGGCATCAGGCCCTGGCCCAGGCCATGTGGAGGACATGGCCAGAGCCCTGAACAAAGGGAACCAGACGGGAAGGCCTCCGGTCACCACTGTCTCCATCCCTGCAGGGTAGGGGCCCAGGATGGACAGGACAGGAAGGTACGTCAGGACAGGCCCCCGACACCCTCACATCCAGTGAAGTCCAGACAGGAGAACTGTGCCTGGCTCCTAGGATGGAGAGGCCCCAGAGCCTTGGCAAGCAGGAGCTCATCAACCTGCATGACTATCCTGGACAGGGACACCAAGGCTCACAGGACTCAAGACTTACCCCACAGCACACGGCTAAATACAAAGACAGCCAGTGCCTGGCGAGGAGGTGGTGCACACCTATAATCCCAGCACTCAGGAAGCTGAGGCAGGGAGGACTGCCTGGAGTTTGAGGTCACCCTGGGCCACACAGTGAGTTGAAGGCCCACCTGAACTACACAGAAAGACTCTCAATTTAAAGAACTAAAAAATTAAATTAAATAAATGAGTACATAGCTTAAAGGAAGAAGCCAGCATCCTAATTCAAGCTCAACCAACTCCAGAGCCAATATAAAAAGGAGTAGCTGGGACCTAGATTCTAAGATAAATGAGAAGCTTCGCTGGCTAAACAGGAAGTTCTGCCCCCAGGGAGGTGACCGCAGGAGCTAGGGACACTGACTTTCTCAATAACTCTGGGCTGCAGCTTCCTGTTAGGGGCTTCGAGGCTCGCTCCTTGGCAGTGAGAGGGCATAGACAGGGCACTGTGTGGGGGCACACATCTGATCAGGAGCTGCCCCCAGTCCTGAGCCCAGGAGCCTCGGGTCTCTACATCCACCCAAGTTTCACCTACAGAGGGAGATGGGTGTTGACCCCTGCGGCATCGACAAGGATACCTAGGCTAAGAGAGAAAAGGTGACCTATCACAGCAAATGAGAAAAAGCAGCCAGGTGTGGTTGAGACATGCCTGTAATCCCAACACTTGGGAGGCTGAGTCAGGAGGACTGTTACAAGTTCAAGACCAGCCTGAAGGGGCTGGAGAGATGGCTCAGTGGTCTAAAGCATCTCCTTGGAACAAGCTTGGCAAGGCATCAGGGACCGCGGTTCAATCCCCCAGCACCACATGCCAGCCAGCCCCGCCCCCTGGTGGGCTGAGCTGGCCACACACACACACACACAAATGTTAAAATGAAAAAAAATTAAAAAAAAAAAGACCAGCCTGAACTGCACAGCAAGACCCTGTCTCAAACAAGCAAAAGAGAAAGACTAAGGGAATCTGAACTGGGCTCAGCCTCTAAATCCGAACCTTTTTCTACCTGGGTGCAGTGAGGCTTCGGCACACTACAGTCCATTCTCTATGTATCTGACCACCCTTGCTGGACACCACTGTGGGCAGGCCTCGTGCTGAGCACTGGTGAGGGAGAGGGAACACAGACCTTCACTTAATTAATTCAGGGAGGAAGTGTTACTGAGTTGCCCAGGCTGGTCTCCAACTCCTGTGTTCAAGTGATCCTCCTGCCTCAGCCTCCTAAGTAGGTGGGTCTACATTTATGTCTGGGCTTTACTAGAGAAAGCCTTCCAACCAGTTCTACCTCCCTCCCTCCACTGTGAACTGGGAGGATATTTGTAAGGAGTGTAGGCTACTTCAGGCCTGGCAGGGGACTGTGCATGGTTGGCACTTCAGCCTGTAATCCGATAGGGCTGCAAAAAGTGTGGGTGGAGGGCCAGCAAGATAGCTCAGCAAACTAAGCACTTGCTTAGGCAAGCACAGGGACGGGGGTCGATCCCTGGCACCACATGCTGCACCAGCCCTGCCCCCAGGTATGCTGAACCAACAACTGAGACTGGGCATGGTGGCGCATACCTATAATCTCAGCATTGGGGCGGCTAAAAACAGGAGGATCACTACAAGTCCAATCTGTGTAGTGAGATCTTGTACCAAATACAGTAAAAAAAAAAAAGAAAGAAAGAAAGAAAGAAAAGAAAAAGAAAAAGAAGTGAGGTGGAACCCAGGCCTGTCTGCATCTCCCATGCTGTCCGCTCCATTCTTCCCCGAGTAGAGGTGGTAGGTGTACAGAGCACCTTTGTTGGTTTTCTGCAGTGACCTTGGGTGGTCACCTTGACCCCACAGCACCCAGCTTCACCCAGGCTCCCCAGGTGAGTACCTGGAAAACAGGGTGTCCTGTCCCTGTCCCCAGCCCTGAGGCTCGCTGTCCGCTTTGGAGGGGTGCCCTGGGGTCTGAATGGGTGCTCGCAGCATGCGGACTCAGTTCCTTCTGTCTAGGCCAGAACCTGTTTATTTTTCCTGTCCAAGGAGGTGGTTCAGGCCTGCCTCAGAGGGTGCAGTGATGGCAGGATGAGGAGAAAGGAGAAAGCCCATCCAGAGGTCTTGCAGCCTGCTCCCACAACTCCAAGGCCCTCTAATCAAAATCGCCGCCTGGAAATCTCGCTGCAGACCCACAGCTGCAGAGGGAGAGTTGTACTCATGGCTGCACCCTGTGGGCTGCAGCAGCCGCGCCCCCTCACGAGAGCCGTCCCCCTTTAGTCCAGAAGCAGTCGGAGGTGTCAGTTTAAATGACTCTATTGGGACAAACTCAGCATACCCAGAAAGGGAGGGTCCCTAGGAGACCCCAGCCTTGTGTCATCCATCCCAAGGCCAGCCTGGGCTGCAGTATGTGGGCCCTTGATGGGGGTCACGTAGAGGCCCAGGCCTCCTTTCTTGCATCAGCATCTTTCTACCAGGCTCAAAAGATACACCACAGTCTGGGCTTTCCCATGCCTAGCTGGAGACCCCAGTCAGCCACAGTGGGGAATAGGAGCTAAAAACATGCTCTTGGGTTGGGTGGGTGGAGCACCCCTGTGATCCCAGCACTTGGGAGGCTGAGGCAGGAGGAATTCCAGGCTAGCCTGGTCTATACAGTGAGTTTAAGGTCAGCCTTTAAAATCAAATTCTGTTTCAAAAAACCAAAACAAAGCAAACCACCCTCCTCCCTCCATTCGGGCTGCCTCCCTTCCCCAGCTGGAGCCGCCTAGAGGCACTGCCCACCACGGGAGCAAAGTTCTGGCTCCAGCCTGTGAGACCCTGGTGGCCGGACACTTACCCAGGTAGATGTCCCCAAAGGATCCGCTCCCGATCTTACGACCCAGGCGGTACTTATTCCCCACACGCAGCTCCATGGTTCACGCTTGCTGCAGAGGGAGGCAGAAATGGTGGGGTCAGAGAATGCAGATCTGGGAAGAGCGACCCCTGAGGATGGACTATACCCCTTCCCGTCAAACAGCAGACAAAGCCACCAGGGACCTGGAAGCCCCCCACCCCCATCTAGGAAGTTACTTTGCTTGAGGGCAAGCAGGTGCCAGGTCCTGCTAATCCACCCTCCCAGCTGAGGCTCACAACAGCGCTCAGCCTGGCTTGGCCAAAGGCAGAATGGGCACCGAGGCCTGAGAGGAAACAACAGGCAAGAGACAGTGTCCCTCCGGGGAACACTCTTACGGGGACCCTATCATAGGAAGCTCTTGAGAGGAGGAATGGTCACCATAGACCAAGACTGAGAGGGAAATGAAGGACAAAGACGGTAGTGAGGAAGGGTCCCAGCAGAGCGGACATCCTAGAGGCACCGCCACAGGCCTCCCCAGCAGGCACCAAGCTCCAGGGATGGGGTCCCAAAGGGGACCTTGTGCACCTTTTCAGGCCTCTGAAATGACAGGGCCCCAATACCCCCAACCCCACCATGGAGCACTGGAGGTCCGTCCTCTGCATTTTGCCTGGCCAGGACTCACCAGGTCCCCATGTGCCCAAAAGGAGGGGTGGTCTGACCCCACTCGGAGGACACAAGAATCCAGTCATCTCATCTGCCCCCCACTCACGACGCCAGCAAAGCACTCAGGCCTTTTCCCTGGCACCCCTTGGAGGGAATACTCTGGCCCACGTCCTTCTGACCTGAGCAGCTCTAAGCCAACCCAAGCTTCAAACTGCTGGTAGGGCAGCAAGGGCCCTCTCTGATTGGAGCAGTTTCCCTGCTTCCGTGGACTGGACCTAGATGCCTCCAGCTCACAGCCAGGGCCCTGGCCAAATGAGGAACTCAAAGTCCCCGGGGAAGTTTCACCTGCCGGGGGCGGGGGACATGGACTGGCAGACATGGATAGGGAAGAAGAGGGTACCTGCAATCTCTGTGTTTACAAGATAGTAGGAGGGTGACCAGGAGGGGACTCAGGCCCAAGGAGGTCAGGCCACTGTGCCCACACCAGCCAGCAAGTCCATGGCAGTCTTGCCTAGGACCCCAAAAGGGTCCCGATGCCCCACCAGATGGGGACGGTCACACACACACACACACCACACGGAGGTTTATTTTATGCCAGAGCCAGGAGGCAAAATAGAAGATGGGAAAACACCAATGAACTGTCCTTTCCCATGCCAAGGGTCACCCCCCAGCCACCAGACCACCAGGGACCGAAGGTAGGGCAGACTTACTCCCTTGATGGTCAGGTGAGACCACCCTGTCAGGATGGAGCCATGCAACTAACAGCTCCTGGCTGGGACAAACACACAGCTCCCCGCGGGCGAGGGCACAGCCTTCCAACAGCCGCAAGGAAGGAGCTGCCACCCCGTGCCAGCCAAAATCCCAGCCTTTGCCCACATGCTCGACCTGGCCCAGCAGAGGTGCTGTGGCTGCCAGCAGCACATGCTCCACATCTGCAGAAGCCCCCATGCCCCACAACCACACGCCACCAAGCTCCTGAGTGTCCCTGCCACTGGAGCCAGGCAAGCAGGTGGGCCTGCAGTCAGTCCTGGGGGAGGGGGCACGCGCATCCCCCCCAACCATTTTCCATCAATGGGGATTCAGAGACCACACAAGGGAGGCCGGCAGGAGAGTACAGGTTAGGAAAATCAACATAAATGTCCCTGCATCCTATATTACATAAATACCCACGCTGGGTTATATAAATACCCGTGCCCTCTGTCTGGGTCTTACATAAATACACTGCACATGACCCCCAGCCCCCTCCCCGCACCGGGCTGTCGCAGAGGAGGAGAGGGGCGAACCCTCAGCCTATAGGACCCCAAAACGGCTCTATGACTGCCACCCAGACGCCAGGGTCCCCAGGATCGCACAGTCTGTCCCGGCACTACCTCCTCTCAAAGCCCCCTAAAAGAGAGCCGCTGGGCTTCCCCACGCGCCGGAGCAGCTTTCCATCCAGTCCTGTGGCTGCGACTCCCAGAGAGGTGGGGTGGGGGAGGGAGGGAGAAACAAAGTGGGGGGAAAAGGCAGACAGGAAGGTTCAGGAGTTTCATCCGCTTAGGAAAATCAGACAACTACCAAGCAGTGCGGCACACACGGACCGGGTTTATACTTCCTGACGCCCTCCCCGCTTCCCCAGAGCCAGGACCCCTGTCACTGACCATGGAAATAAAACCCGAAAGCAAGGCTCAGATCCTAAGACCCAGGAGCCCCAAACACCGACGTTCACTTGAAGCAACTTAGACACTCCGCTTTTCACTCCCCAAATCCTTCTCCCTTGGGGAGGCTACGCCAAGGGAAGAATAAATTAAAAAAAAAAAAAAAAAAAAAAAAGCCCTCAGGGCAAAGTTGGGGGGGTGGCCTCACTCCGAGTTTGGCAATAGGAGGAGCTGGGGGCGTCGCTAAGGTCGGGGCTCTAGCCCCACGAGCGCCCGCAGAACAAGGGTTTCTCACAGGGGAGGAACGGGAGAATCCCAGCTGATAAATAACCCCCACCATTCCTCGCTCCACAAAGGAAAACAAAGCTGGTGGCCTGGGGGAACCACACACTCCAGCACCCCGGGACCTCAGGACGTTCCAACAGGCGGGGACAGCCTTAGTGAACCCGGGTGCTGAGAGGGGGGTGCTGCTGAACATCCTGAAGCCTACAGAAGCCCAGGGCTGGGCCAGGAAGCCCCAACCCACGGGACCGGCTACCCTCAGCTCCCCGGCCCCAATCCTTTCCTCGCCCGCCCCAAATCCTAGCCGGGGGTCGCCCCGGGCTGGAGCCTAAGGGGTAGCCCAGCTGGAGGAGCGCCGGTCTGGGGGAGCCCCCTCTGTGCAAGGGTACAAAATAACAGTCCCCCTCCTCCGCGTCCCCGGCCGCGCCTTTGTCCTCGCCGGGCCGGGCGGGCGGCGCCCGGACTGCGCCCCTCTGCGCGGCGCGAACGCGCGTGTGTCGCCCTCCCCGCCCTCCTCCAAGCAAAAACAAAGAGGCGGAGGGAGCCCCGTTTCCCCCCCGGCTCGCGCCCCTCCGCCGGCCTGCGGCCCCCAGATACTCACCCCGCCAGGAAGGCGCCGGGGCCGGGCCGCTGCTCTGGGGGCTCCCGCGGGCGGGGGCGGCCCGCCGGGGCGG